TTCTGCTGTTGAGAAAATTATATTATTACGTAATATTTTATTACGTTTTTTATTTTCAGCCATTTCCTTTAATCGGTAATCTTTTTGACTACGTAAAATATTATTACGCTTAATATTTTTAAGTCTTTCCCTCTCCTGGTAATCCTCTTTGCTTCGTAATTGATTATTGCGATTTCTATTTTTAATTGATTCTCTATCACGATAAACAAAATTATTTCGTAATATTTTATTACGTGCCATATTTTTAATAGATTCTTTCGTTTTATAAACCACCTCATTTCTTAATAATTTTTTATGTTTGGCATTCTTAAATAATTTAGAATATGTTTTATCTTTTGGCAAAACATTCAAGGAAAGCTTTTCTTTATTAATTTTTCTCTTTTTTTTCATATTGTCTTTCATAATTTTTCTATATTGATCGATACTTTTTCTTTTAATGATAACCATTTTATAAAAAATGTTTATAACAAAAATAAATTTTGATTTTATAAATTTAAATCAAAATATATTACAAAACCAGCATTAATTGTAATACGAGTTAGAATGGCCAGATTTTTTTATTGTTTTGTTTTGGAAATGTGATGGTAAATCAATTATATAATTATAATCGTCAATAAATCTCCAAGAATTATCTGAAAATAATAATATAAACTTTCAAAATACTTCGGCGACCTATTTTTGAGCATCTTGCATTAAACTTTTTATAATAAACTTACAAGTAACACTACCCAAGTGCCACATAAAATTAAAATAAAATTAAAATTATGATGTAAAATTTTTAATTAATTTAATTTTTTAAATTAATAAACAATTTTTGGAATGATTAATGGGGTTAATTAATCTGCAAAGAATTTTTAATTGCACTAAAGTGAATTTTTTGCAATCAAGATTATTATACTTTTAATGAGTATAAAGTATAATTTAATTTAAAATTATTTATTTACTTATTGTTTGAACAATTTATTGTTTAAACGGTTATTGTTTAAACAATAGAAACAATCATTTATTGTAATGTCCATGCTTGTTTTAATAATTTGCCTTTATGCAGAGTATTAATTTTCATAAATTATTCCACTAAGCATGTCAGTTCGTTTTATTAGATTAATAAAAATTGAATATTTCAACCCCTATTTTCATCCCTTAAATCAACATCGCAGACGCTAAAAAAAATTACGTATCGTATATTTTTTGGTACTCTTTAAGACGTATATGGTTAAAAATCAATCTGGAGGTGGCACTTGGGTAGTGTTACTTGTTAGTATAATAATAAATTTTAATAATAAAATTTTATATTTTTTAAACCATTCAGTTATATATTTATAAAATTTTTTAAAAAAATTTACGGATCACTGCACCTTTAAGGGGATCACCATGTGTGATGGGTTCAAAAAATCTATTTTTTGCATAAATTTCATCAATAACATATGTATAATATGTGGATAAAGCGATTTTTTGATATACAACGTCATTACAAAATTATAGCACTGATAAACCACTGTGTTCAAGAGCGTGGTTAAGCGTACTTAACCTTTCAAACGCATTTTTCTCAAAACTACTTTTTCGAACTAGCGTCCATGATATCTCAGAAACCACTTTACCAATTTTGATCAAATTTACAAGGCATGTTCAGCATATGTGTGGCTATCACCCGAACTAGAATACTTGAAAAAGGTCAAGTAGTTTTCTTTGTAAACTATTAATCAAAGTTACTTCCTTGTATATCAGTCGAAAACATTAAAATATTTTTACTTGAAATAATTTGTACTTGTTGAAATGTCAATAAATTTGCAGTAAATAATTTCAAGTTCTATGTTTTCATAGTTTTTAAAAACAATCGCAAAAATGAAAAAAATAGATGCCATCACATGGGGTGACCCCCTTGAGGGGGGCGCCTACTTTATTTAAGGAAAAAAAATGTGTACATTTCAGGAATTTTTTCTCAAACGCATTGAATGACCTGTAATCAAATAAATTAATACGAGTTTTTGTGGATGTTTTCTTATACATTTGCACCTTCGAAATATAATTTTTTATTTAAAAAAATAAAATTTAATAATAAAATAAACGTTATATACTCGCTACTGAAATTTTCCCATTGCATCTATTCTAGGATCTAATAAAAAAAAATTTTCAGTCAAATTTAACATTATGTTTTAAAAAAAGTAATTTTTTTTTCAAAAATTAAATTATTTTTTAAAGTCATGTAAAATTTTTAATTTTAACTTTCTATTTTTAATCTTTTCATTCATACAAAAAGCAATAATGTACGATCTAAGAAAAAAATTTGATTTTTTGTTTTTGATAAGAATTTTGAACCCTAGATTGGACGCAATGGGAAAATTTCAGCAGCGAGGCTTTTTTGAAGATAAAGTGTCAAAAAATAAATATCCATGGTGGTCAGGAAAAATTTTTTGTTATTTTTTAATTTTTTTAAACAAATTTAAAAAAAAATTCTTTGCTTTTTGAATTCTATAAAATAGTTGAAATTTGATTTAAAATGTTTATGAAAATTTTTGGGATAATTCAAAAAAATATATATATAGCGCGAACGACAATTAAAAATTTTTATTTCGGTAATTTATGGAAATTTATGCGGTAATTTATAAAAATGTCTATAGCGCGAACGACAAGTAAAAATTTTGATTTTGGTAATTTATGGAAATTTATGCGGTAATTTATAAAAATATGTATAGCGCGAACGACAATTAAAAATTTGGATTTTGGTAATTTATTGAAATTTTAGCGGTAATTTATAAAAATATATGTAGCGCGAACGACAATTAAAATTTTTGATTTTGGTAATTTATGGAAATTTATGGGGTAAATTATAGAAATTTTTTTGGTAATTTATAGTAAACTTACCGGAGCAATGATAATTTATAAGAAATATTTTTTAATTTCGTTGTGCGCGACGCGGAGAATCACCCAAATTTTGACATTTATTTTATTATTAAATTTTTTGTAATGAAAAAATTATATTTCAAAGGCTTAAATATGTAAGAAAACATCCACAAAATCTTTATCAATTTATTTCAATGTATTTGAAAAAAAATTCCTGAAATTTACAAATTTTTTGACCTTCTAAAGTAGGCACCCCCCTTAAAGGTTTTTTGGGTCGCTAATCACGAATCTGGAATCTAAAGGGATTCAAATAAATACATTTTTACGTACATATTAGAAAAAAATATAGCGAGTATGATTGGAGTTGATAATCATAGCGTTGTTAAAGGAAAACACTACCTTTATTTTAAGTCGTTTAAATTTTAATAATAAAATTTTTGCATCATATGGGTATGTATATGCAGAATGTCAAAAAAATAAAATTTTAATTTTTGACCATTTTAGAAATTAGTCTTAAAAAATTAATATTTTAAATATCTATTTTCTTTCCCAATTTTTACAATTTTTTCCACGCTTTTTTAATTATTAAGTTCTTCTTCTTCTTCCATTCTCGTATAGAAAAATTTTAATATTTAAAAAAAGATGAAAAATATGAGTTACATCATTGCACTCTCCTATTTAATTTGTATCTTCTTTCGCAATTTGAATTATTTTTTTCGTCAGATTTTGTCGACTCGCTTGTTTCATGATTCTTTAGAATCTCTCGTATGGATTTTTAAAAATTTTAATTTTTTCAAAAAATAAAAATTCTAAAATAGTCAAAAATTAAAAAAAAATTTCTTTACCATTCTGTATGTTTTGAGGACCCAAATGATGCAAGAAAAAATATTTAACACCCTGGCATCATTAAAATTTAAAGGACTCAAAATAGAGAGGTGGTGCCACCCTTAAGGAAAACCGATGAATTTTTACTAAAAATGCTTATATCCCCCCCTAGTGGCCACATCTTTTGATATAAAGAACTCAAATTCAGTCAGGGTGTACACCGATCAGGGAAATTTTTTAGTCAGTGAAAATTCAGAGAATGCCAAGGAATTTAATTAAAAATCAGGGAACTTTTTAAAAATTTGCAAAAAATGAAAATTTATAGCAAAAATTAAACAAATATGATTAGAAGTTTCTTTAATTAATTTCTTTAAAAATAAAATTATTTTTTATTTTTTGAACAGCCCTTATACATAAATATTATGAAAAACATTTATATTTCACAAATTATTAATTTCTATAATATTATTTTTTTTAATTTATAGATAATTAATATAATTATGTATTAAATTAATTTAATTTACTTATTATTCATTCCTTTTATATTTATCTTAAAACTTTTCTACAATGAAAATATGAAAATTAAATATAAATATGAAGAAATGTAATTATTTGTAATTATATTCATTATTATTAGTTAATTTATTATTATTATCATAATAATAATTACTATTATTTAAAGAATATTCAATAAAAACATTATAATAGAAGAATATAATTATTTTTTGCAATAATTTATATTATTTACCTCTGTATGACAATTTTTATTGGTTATATTTCCCTCTTTTTTTAAATCCAAAATTTTTTCTTTATAATAATATTTTCGAGAAGATAATCAATTTTTATATATTTTTTCAGTATCAATATTTTTTTTATATTTATATAATTTCAATTTGTCAAGAAGCGGTTATATTACCCTCTTTTTTTGAAATCAAGAATTTTTTTTAATAATATTGCAAAGAGGATTAGCGTATAGAGGATATTTTGTATATTTTTTGGCATTAATATTTTTTATATTATATTTCAAATTGTCAAAATTATTCTTAATTATAAATGTATAATAATTTGACAGTTTTTTTTTTTTTTTTAATAATAGTAATGAAGTTGCCTTACAATTTAAAAAAAATGAAAAAAATTCGATAGTTTTATAAAGCAGTTAGAGAAACATAATTAATTTGACATTAAAAAATAAAAATATTATTCACAATAAAATGGAAAATAATGATAATAATGATAAAAGTATGTATAATAATAATAATAATAATAATAATAATATTAATAAAATAATAATAATAATAAATATAATAATATTAAATATGGCAATAAATTTACAGAAAGAAAATTGGAACACTCCAAAGAATTGGAAAATAAAAAATTTAAAAATGGTAAAATTTTTTATTATTCAATAATTATAATTAAATTAAAAAAATAATAATATTATTATTACTTTTTTTGTAAATAGAAAAAATATATAATTATAAATTTCTTTCAGAAAAGGAAATTAATCAAAATAAAAAAGAGGATTATATTGGTAAGTTATTTAAAATAATTCGTTGTGTCTAGGAATGATTTAGAAAAAAATTCCCTGACTTTTCCCTGACTCCTCCCTGACATTTTTTGATTTTTCCCTAACTTTTTAATAACCTTATTTCTACTTTCTTTAGACAAAAATATGGTTACTGTCATATTTAACAATAAATTAATTTCTAATGGCAGTAACAAATGGTAATAAAAACCATTCATATTTTTTTAGATTAAAAAATTTTTAAATTTACAAAAAATTTTAATTTTTGTATAAATTTACAGAAATTGCACTGACTTTGAATGAAATTTTCTGAAGTTCCCTGACATTTCCCTGACTTCCCTGTAAACAATTTACACTTTAAAAATAAAAAAATTCATAAATATTTCATAAAACATTTTCATTTAATGTTTATCATATTAATTATTATTATTCTTATTATTATTATTTAATAACTCCTTTTCTGGAATTGATAAATTTAACAGAATCTGATGAGGAGGTATTGGAAGCGTTATTGAAATGGGAGGAAAAAAATAAAATCAATTCGTAAATATAAAAAATAATATTAATAATACAAAATTTTTTGGAATGGCAGCAGAAGTATGATGAGAAAAAATAAAGCCGATTCATAATCATAAAATAAAAAATAATTGTTAATCATAAAATAAATAAAATATAATTTTTAATGATAAAATAAAAAATAATTATTAAAAGTAAAAAAAATAAATTTATTAAAATTATTATTTTTTATAAATTAAAAAATTGTAGTTACAAGTAAAAAATTAAATTTCCAATTATTCTAAAATTTCCAGTGGCATTTTAAAAATTTTTTTTAATTAAAAAATATTTTAAATTGTAATGTAAAATTGAAATAAAAAAAATAAAATAAAAATAAATTAAAACATGTAAATAATTTCAGACAATATGTTAATTTTAATAAAAGAATGTAAACTAAAGAATTATTCTGATAATTCTAAAAAAATTAATTAAAGTTTTTTATTTGAAATTTAATTTTTAAAAAGTTCTAATTGGTTATGCAATGTGAACTATATATATATATCATAAAAAAACAATCAATTTGTTAACTGTCACTTATCGAATTTGTCAGTGCTTGCAGTTAAGAATAAATAAAATATATATATTATAAAAGTTAAAAAATATCATCAGTTATTTATAATAAAAACATTTATTAGTAAGTAAGTAGTATTAAAACTTAAAATTTAATTATAAAACTTATAATTTATAAAACTAAAAAAATTAAATATTTTGTAAATTATTATATGTTTTGTAAAACTAAAGTTGAGAGATTTTTATAAGATTTTATTTTATTTTTAAGATTTCTTTTTGTAAATTCTTATATGGTTTTTTTAAAAATAAATTTAAGAGATTTTTATGAGATTTTATTATATTTTTATATTTATTTTTTATTTTATTTATATTTTATTTTTCAGATTTTTATTTTTTTGTAAATTGTTATGTTTTTGTAAAACTAAAGTTGAGAGATTTTTATAAGATTTTATTTTATTTTTAAGATTTCTTTTTGTAAATTCTTATATGGTTTTTTTAAAAATAAATTTAAGAGATTTTTATGAGATTTTATTATATTTTTATATTTATTTTTTATTTTATTTATATTTTATTTTTCAGATTTTTATTTTTTTGTAAATTGTTATGTTTTTGTAAAACTAAAGTTGAGAGATTTTTATAAGATTTTATTTTATTTTTAAGATTTTTATTTTTTTTTTTGCAAATTGTTATGTTCATTAAAACTAAAGTTAAGATTTTTATTATTTATTATTATATTATATCTCAATAAACTTAACCTTTTATAGTGTTTGAATTTTTCAAAAGTTTCTTTGAAAAAAATAAGTTAGAAAATGATAAAGAAAGAAAAGATAAAGAAAGAGAAAATGATAAAACCGTTGAATCCGATAATCTTTTAAAAGAACAAATTGAAATTAAAAAAAAAAGAGAATGAAGTACTTAATGCTGAAGAAAAACAAAATCCAGGAAAAAATGCTGAAAGAAATTCGAAAAGAAGGTTAAAGGAAAAGGAACAAAGAAGGTTATTTTATATATATCTCAATAATTTTTTATATTTTATATTACACCTATTTCAAAATTATTTTCAAAAGTAAAAAAATAAGATTTATTAAAATATAAAAATTGTTACAATTAAATTTAACAAAATTTTCAATTAACTGGATATTTTATTTAATCTTCTGTAATTATTTACAGGGATTTAACAATTGCATTTGTAATAAATTTGTCAATTTTTCAAAGAAATAATTTTTTCATCATTTTCAAATTAATTATTCCAAACTCAAATGAATACTCAAATGTTTATATTATTATATTATTTATGTATGTTTATTTCAATGTTAATGCTTTCTCCACGAGGAAGCAAATTTTTTTGCTGATCGTAAAGAGAAGGAAAAATGTTCATGTAATGAACATCTGAATTTACAACTTGTTTAATTAATTGAGATATATATAGGGGAGACTGACCTACAATGGAACACTTTTTTTCAAAGACATATGAATATGTCAATTTTACAAATTTTAAAAAATTTTTTGGTATTACCAGAAAAAATAAGTTTCATAAAATAAAGATAATATATTAATTAAATTTTTATTTCACAATTAATTTGTTAATTTCAGAAAGAGAAAGGAGTACTATTATGGAGAAAGAAATTTCACAGGAAAACACAATAAACAATATACCGTATCAAAACCATACACCCAATTATCATCTTACAGAAGACCAGAACAATATTCAAGACCAGAACAATTCTCAAGACCAGAACAATTCTCAAGACCAGAACAATTCTCAAGACCAGTACCATACACAAGACCAACACCATACAGACGACCCACAAAATACAACAGATTCTCATCAAATACCCAAATACCGAAGACACCACATTCACCTTCACAGGCAAACTATCCATCTCCACAGGCTCAATATCCACCTCCACAGGCTCAATATCCACCTCCACAGGCACAATATCCACCACCACAAGCACACTATCCACCTCCGCAGGCACAATACACACCTCCACAGGCACACTGCACACCACCACAGGCACAATACCCACCTCCACAGGTATACTACCCACCACCACAGGCACAATACCCACCACCACAGCCACAATACCCACCACCACAGGCACAATACCCACCACCACAGGCACAATATCCACCAACACAAACGTATTATCCACCACCTCAATCAGAATACCAAGCACAATTCCCAAAATTTAAGAAAAATTATTATTAGTTGTTATTTTTTGTAATTGCTAAAAAATTTATTTAAAAAGGAGTACAATTATTTTATATATAAACTAGAATTTTTTTTTCACATTTTAGCTAAAATGTGAATTTTTGATTTTTTAACTTTCATTAATTTATTAAATTTACCTCAAATGTATACTTTATATATATCGATGGATTCGTTTTGACGTAAGGAATACAATTATTTCATATATAAACTTCAATTTAAAAAATCACAAAATTTTTTGGCCAAAATGTGAATTTTTTATTTTTTAACTTTCATTAATTCTTTAAATTTACCTCAAATGTATACTTTATATATATCGATCGATTCGTTTTGACGTAAGGAATACAATTATTTCGTATATAAACTTCAATTTAAAAAATCACAAAATTTTTTGGCCAAAATGTGAATTTTTTATTTTTTAACTTTCATTAATTCTTTAAATTTACTTCAAATGTATACTTTATATATATATCGATCGATTCGTCTTGACGTAAGGAATACGATTTTATTAAATATAACCTTAAATTTTTCTATTTAAAAATTTTTTCGATTAAAAAAAAATTTTTGGAAAAAAGACGATAAAATTTTTTTTTTTGGGTATTTTTAAAAATCCTTCGGTCAGATTTGAGATATTAATATGATAAATGAGCCTACCAAATTTTATCTAAATCCATTAAAACCTGTTAAAGTTATCTTCTAAACAAAAAAGGGATCCACACACACACACATACACACACACATACATCCTTTCGGACAATTGATCAGGATCTCATATAACATGTTTCTATAAAGAAAAAAATTTGTTTCCGCCACTTTGAAAAGTTTTATAAACGAAAGGACTACAAAGCTTCCTCCACGAGGAAGCAAAATTAACCATTTTCGCCAGAACTAGTGATGCACAACGATACGAGATTTTCAATTATCTCGGTATAAAAAAATCGTTTTCGAAATATATAAAATAAATAAATATCGTTCATTCAATTGTTTTTTGACATATCGCGTCGTGTCAAAATTCCGAGCGATTACAAACGATAATCTCGGTTTTGCATGGTTGATTAATTATTAATTGTAAATAATTTAATGTACACATTCTACTATGACGGAAGAAAATACGGATAGTAGTAATACTAAAAAAAAGATCTGCCTCGAGGTAAATAATTATTATTTCTATTTCAAAATGCTTAAAGATACTATTTTATGTTTTTAAATAACCTTGAAAATAAAAAAAATAATGATAATAATAATATTAAAATTATGTAATTGATAACTATATTTAACCTATTATTCAGTGAAGAATTTCATTTGGAGCCTGGTCAGATTAATTTTTCGTCGAGTGCAAAAAAGAAGAAAGAAGTAATGATGGAAGTATTTGAATTCGGACATACAGAAGAAAATGATAAATTCGCGAAGTGTAAATTATGTTTAGAAAAAGATAAAACAATCAAAATAATTAAAATGAAAGATGGAAACACGGCCGGGACAAACAGGCACCTTAAACTATACCATAAGGAATATTTCACCAAGGCTTTTCCAGATAAATCGCCAGCTACGTCAGAAGTAATAATTAAACTTTATAAATGAATTAAAATAGTATTATTATAACTAAATAAAATTAATAAACTTTAATAGTCACATTTTTGAATAGTTGAATAGTTTTGAATAGTCACATTTTTGAATGTCAAATGATATAGAAATAAGAATTTGATAAATTAAACTAAAATATATTAAATGATGCGAACGTAAATTTTAATCAATAAATAATGATAAATGTTTTACTATTTTAAAATTATAAAAAACATTTAACTTTTCATATTGTTTAGACGTTTAACCAAAGAAAACTAGAAGACATGACTGTTGAATTGATTTCAAGAAAATATTTGCCTATAAATTTTTTCAACGATGAAATAACACAACAATATTTTAGCTATTTGAATAAAAATGCCGTATTGCCTAAACGTAATCAGCTGCGAATCATGATTGATCAAAAATTTACGGACTTACAAATAAAAGTGAAAGAAATTTTACAAAAATCTCTTCTAAAATATCTTTTACTGTAGATGGATGAACTTCCATAGCACAAAAATCATTCAATGGAATAACAGGTTAAATACTACATTAATTATTATATTATATTATCCCAGTAAAAAAAAAGAATTAGGAGTAAGCAAAAAGAATTGTTAATAACTTAAGCTGAATGCGGTTTGGCGAAAAAACCGAATTGGAACGTTACGGTGAATTATTTTTTTCTTACCGTGAATTCTTTTCTCTTAAACATTTGAATTGACGTTTGTTTATTCGAGTTTGCATTATAAATGAATAAGAATAAATGTTTTGAAGTCTAAAAAGCCGATTTGGAATAAGAAATATTTAATTTTTTAAAAAGAAATAAAAGTGAAATGTGATAGATTTACCGACAATTTTACCATGTGAGTACTACTCATATGGTAAATTTATCATATGAACACTACTCACTTGATAAAATCGTCGGTGAATCTGTCACACTTCGCTTTCATTTATTTTTTTTAAATTATATATTTCTTATTCCCAATTCTTTTTTTTTACTGATATATTATTTTAATTATAAATGTTAAATATAAACATAATGTATATAATTTCAACTGAATCGAAAGATCATGCATTAATTAAATATTTTTATAGTTATTTAATATAAATAAAAATTTAGCCTTGAAACTTTAAGATCGGTCCTAATTCCTTTTATAACTTATTTTTTAAACATAATTTATAATAAAAATAAAAAATATAAAAGAAAATATAAAGTTCACATTATCTAATACAGTTCTTAATTATAATGTTTTTATTTAAGCTTCATTTAATATTTAATCTAAATTTCATTAAAAGTGGTTTAATTAATTAATTTTAGATTAATTTGTAAATTGTATATAAAAGATAAATAAAGTAAATAAATTGTAAGTAAAATAAATAATTTAATTATAGGACACTACATAGATGACAAATGGAATCTACAGTCCATAACGTTAGATTTGATTCCATCATACGGAACTCATACTGGAAAAAGTACCGCAAATTCGTTTCATAAATTTCTAAAGGAGTATGGTTTAGAAAATAAAGTACACAGGGGATTACTTTGGATAACGCCTCTTCTAACTAAACCTTTATTTCTGAATTAAAATCACTCTTAAATCTGGATATTTCTTCCGAAGATTTGCATTTTAAATACTTCGCACATATTTTGAATTTAGCGGTCCAAGATTTATTAAAGGAGTTAAATTTACAAGTAGATACTGACTTTGAAATTGAAAGCGAGGTAGAAGAAGAATTGGACGATTACAAAAATGATCATGGTGACGATCACGATAATGATGATGATCACGAAAATGATAACGATCACGACAATCATTTTAATAATGACGATCACTACAAAAACAATGATCAGGAAAGTGAAAAAGATATTGACATACCAAATGATGTTTCACCAGTAGCAAAATTAAAAACATTATTTATAAAATTGAAGTATTCAGAAAAATTACAACAAAAATTAAAGTGTTGTTGTGTTACTGTAGGAATTAAAATGCTAACACCTACAATTGATGTAAAAACTCGTTGGCACTCGACACACGATATGATCGATAAAACTTTAAAGCTTAAAGAAGCGTTGATTTTATTGTGCGAAACTGATCCGCTGTTTTACAATTTAGAAATATTAGAATCTGATTGGGATCTTCTTGAGTCTGTCGTAAAATATTTACGATATTTTAAGAGTTTATCAAACTTATTATGTGGTGAAAAATAAGCCACTCTTCCTATTGTTGTCGTTGGCTTCAACATGTTGGTTGATAAAATTGTAAATGAACTCGCAAATCTTAAGACTAAATCAAATAAAAATGTAACTGATCTAAGGATTCAAGGTGGTCTTCAGTCAGCTTGTGAAAAATTGATGAAACATTACCAGAAAACCAATTGGATTTATTGTGCAGTCTTACTACTCGATCCTAGACACAAAGAGGAACAATTTAATTAAACAAATGGGGAAAAGAAATGGCCAAAAAGTCTATCAAAAAGTTTGAAGACATTTATAAGAATAAATATTATCAAAAGGAAGTAGAGACAACAAGTGAATTTCAACCTAATAATGAGATAAATGATAATATCGATGATGACTTTCATCCCTTAGCTCTTTTCTCATCTGAAATTCCAAGCAAACGATTAAGAAATAGCAGCTCATCTACCCAAAAACAAGAAAAATGGCGAGAAGAATTTGATGTTTACTTGAATATGAATCGTGCAGATAAAAGTACTGACATTTTAGAATGGTGGCAAAATCACGAAGAACAGTATCCAAATTTATCTAAAATGGCCCGAGATTTTTTAAGCATACAGGCAACTTCGGTACCCGTAGAGCGACTTTTCTCTAGATGTTCCCTAACAATCCGCAAACATCGAAATAAACTTGGAAGCAATACATCCCGTCAGCTAATTTGTTTAAATAGCTGGACAGCCCGAAAAGAGTTTTCTTCTTTTAGCTCATTGCAATAAAATACAATTTTTATTGTAGGCTTTCTCAACTATGTTTTAAATATGTTCATTAATGATTGTTCATTTTGTTTCAATATAATTATTATACTCTTTTCTTTTGATTTGTAATTTATTAAGAAAATAAAATTTAAAAAAATGTAATTTAAGTTAGGAATACTGTTATTGGATTTTTTAAAACAAAGTATCCTTATAAAATATTTTGTTTTATTTAATTTATTAATTATTAGAAAAAATCTTTAATTTTAATGGAATAAAAATTTGATTCTTATCTGCAATCTTTTAAAAATATAAATTTCACATTTTCTAATGCTTCTATTTTATTTCATTTAAAAAATAACTAAGAAAACATAAGTTTAATGTTGACAATTCATTTTAGAAAACACGACTTTAAATAATCATTTTTCATATTACACTAAAAAAATAATTCAATACAATATAGACTACAATCGATATTTTATTAATTAAATTGATGTTCATTATTATTAATATTAATTTTTGACATTAAAATTTTGGTTTTAAATGATCAAAAAATTAGTCATATTTTTTATTAGCCCAACAAACTATTATGCCTTTAAATAATTAAATAAAATTTAAAGGAATTTATTATCTTTATATTTGGTTAACAAAACGGCAATTATTTTTAAATATTTCTTTTATAATAGACATATTAATAAACTACTGATTGTCTTACATCCTTTTTTCTGTGTACAAATAAAAAAGATCCGAGAATCTCGGAACTCTCGCTTGCATAGCGATAGTTTCGGTCGAAAAACAATCGATTTATTATCGTATCGATTTTTGACATAAATAAAAACAAAAATCAGTCGTTTTCTATATCGTGTCGATCGAATGCATCACTAGCCAGAACTAAACGACACGATTTCATAAAATTCCGCACAATTTTACTCAATTTCACACTAAGAATAAGGGCAGAAAATATTTTAATACAACAACAACTAATTACTGCAGGAAATGTTTCACGAAAAAAGATGATATTTTCGATATCTAAGCTGTAAGAGCGCGGACGATGAGCAAAGTATTTTGCTCACCGTTAAGCGGTAGCCAAAACATTTTGCTCATCGTCCGCGCGCACAATGAGGGAGTCGGCCATTTTGAATAGCTGCAAGTAGCTGTCAAACGAGGTTATGCCTGCACTTATAAAGAAAAATATGGTTCGATACTCGTTGCCTCACGAGCGTATGCCCATTACTCGTGTAATGAGCAAAACGCTCGTTTGGCCCCTTGTATCGAAATATACTATTTTTACTTACACATTTTGTACATGTATCTACATGTTTAATAATATATCATTTAATTATGTGTGAAATGTGTACACTAAAAAAATTTGATTATTTTTTTAAAAAATGTTTAAAATTAAATTAAACTAAATTAATCTCATGATTTTAAAAGACATTTTTTGACATAGACCCTACCGAAAGAGTGGTACTGGAATGGTACTGAATTGGACTTGGCTTGAGTTCCACTTCAGTACCACTACCTGATAACCCATAAGAAGACATTTTTAAAGTACTTTAACAATAGTTTTAAAGGTATGTTAGAACAGCAAAGCGTCTCTCACGATATCCGTGTAAAACAGCAAAAAAAAAACAATAGTTTGTAGAAAATTTCAGTTAAGTTTGGAAATTATATTGCAATCCCTCCTTAAACAATAGACTCCAAGGTCCTTTGTTGAAGGATTACAATTTTAACCCGAGTTTTATTGCTTAAAAATTTTGTAATTTTCATAACTCAACTTTAAAAAATATATATTGAGATTCGTTAATATTTCCAGATTATGAATATCTAAAATTTGTCATAAAATAATTACATTTAAAAAAGTTATAATTTATCTCGTATACCTTAAGTTTGATAAAAAAATGGACATCATTTTTGAATTTAGCTGCCAAAGGAAATATCATATGCATAATAATGTATGAAAATAATATAAATCCATGAAAAACAAATATAATATTGAAATAAATATAAAGTTTTAGTTTAAACATATTGAAAAAGCTAGTCGCTTTTCACTTTTATGAGGGTTTTAACGGTAACTCGACCCTTTTCGTAGGTAAATTTCCCAGTTCCATTTCAGTACCAAAATGCACCAAATTAGTACTGAGTTGGTACTGAGCCCTCAGTTCCAATTTCCCAGTACCAATCCAGTACCACTCTTTCGGTAGGGGAGTAATTTTAAGTATTTATTGTAATTAATATTACCAAAATGTAAAATTATTGTTAAAATTATTGTGCTGGTACAATTATTTATTTATAATTTATTGATTAATAATTATTCAATAATTATTTGTTAATTAATAATTATTAAATATTAATTTATTAATTAAAAATTATTGTTAATTATGTAATAATTATTTATCGATTATTTATTAATTAATTACTAATTATTTATTAATAAATATCTATAAAAACATTAATAAAAGTATATTTATATTATAAAGAATTCAAAAGTTCGCGCGTGAAATTAACCGGCTGTCGGTAAAAACAGGCATAGTCGCTCAGCTAAAGTGGGCGAATATGAGGAAAACGAAAAATAGGTACACCTACAAGAGTAATGGCACGGTTTATACTTGTGTGTGTGGCCGTATGGAGGGAGGCGCACGGGCGGCATGGTGGGAGTGGAATTGGTGTGCAGTCTGGCATCACTGAAACAAACATTCGGAAATGAAACGCCAAATGCTATCTGAGAAAAATTGTTTATAAATGTACCTTTGTCCAAATTGTCTGTCTCTGACCAATATTACAAGCGGCTTTTGTGGTTACACATTTTTAATTTTCACATTTATAATGATAGTAATAATCGGAGCTATATGTTTACTTTTCTTGAAGGGTTTTTTAAAAAAGCAGGGAATACTACCTGTTTTTTTTTATTATATGTAGTGGAAAACGAATTTAAACTGGGTTATTATGATAAAATTTATTTATTTTCGGACTCCTGCCCTGGGCAAAATAAAAATTATTTGCTTTTTTCTTTCCTCTCTTTACTGTCAGCACATCTTCAGGTAGAAATTGTACACGTATATCCTGTGTGCGGTCACTCATACTGCCAATGTGATCGAAATTTTGGAGTATATGGCAGTAAAAAAAGGAAAATTGAAATCATTGAAACGGAGGAAGAATATATTGAATTGATAAAAAATTGAGAAAATTGAGAAAACCTTCAAAAAACACACCTGCCAAAATTTTTTTTATTGCATTTATAGACAGAAAACACAAATAGTAGGCGGTGTCAGGGAAAACTGATAAAATTAACCCCCCTCTATCTCCCCAAAAATTTCAAAAAAGTCAAAAATTTTTTGGGGATATTTTACTATCACGTAGGACAATAATTTCCCCAAGTTTCACTATTTTTCGAGAAATCAATTTTTTAACTCAGGACATTACGCGTAAAACGCCTCATATGCACACGGAGAAAAATGGAAAAACGAATAAAGTAACTTTTACTACTTTAAAAGTAAAACCGTAACTGTCCGTAGTTTCTGCGCATTTCTGGCAATTTTTACTCCAGAAATAGTAAAATTTACTATTCCGTGAATAATTTTTACTATTTTAAGAGTAAATTTTACTATTTTTGGAGTAAACTTTACTGTTTCTGTAGTAAAAATTGCCAGAAATGCGCAGAAACTACGGACAGTTTCGGTTTTACTTTTAAAGTAGTAAAAGTTACTTTATTCGTTTTTCCATTTTTCTCCGTGCAGGATAAAGTAAAGGACTTTAATTTAATTTAAATTTTTTTTTTATAATAATAATAATTATTATTAACTTCAAATATAAAATTTTAATTAATTAATTAAAATTAATAAAAGTTTATTGCAAAAACAGTAAACAATAAATAAGTACCGAAAAAATGGGAAGAAAATGCGTCTGTAATGCTTGACGTGAATGGAACGAGAGCGTTGCATTGCAAACGGTGTAGAGCCGCTGCGCGTAATTTTTTCAACAATGCATATTTCCGTTAATTTTTAAGCAATCGGTCTGAAACTTTCGTAGAAAACTTCTTTGGTTTCTAATGAACAACTTTCTCACTGGAAGTTTGTTAAACCCAAAAGTTCCCCTCAGACTTTTTGTCGTCGAAGCAAAGAAAACGTCATTACCGACATTTCCCAATTTACAATTAAAAATTAATTAACAATAAGTGAATTTAAACCTTTTTATTGTTTTATCGTCTGCATTATACCTCAACACATTTACATACCAAATTTCATTGAAATCCATTAGTATTTGTCCACGTTTCAACGAGATTTTTTTAAACAGTAATTAAATTGAGAGGCGAAAAATTTTCAGTTTTTTGTTTTTATTATTAACAATATTAAGTTTAGAAAAAAACTTTAAAGATAAAAAAGTTGCGCATTTTTATTGTACATTGGATTATGTATTTTAAAAATTTTAATTTTTTTACTTTCTGGTCCGTTGACTGGCATAAAAACCGTCCGGTCGAGCGCTAAACGAGTTATAGAATTAGGAGGTTTTATTTATATAAGATTTATTTTAGGTTATATAGGTTTATTTTATATATATATATATATATGTATATATGAGTAAAACTTCCTGAAATGGATCACCCAAATTAAAGATGAACTGTATTTGCTTGGTAATATAGAAAATTAGAACATTATTATGAGTTGAAAAACTGCCCAAAGGATTTTTCAAAAAAAAAAAATTTCTCAAAGTTATAAACAATTAAATTTTTTTGTAGTCTTTTGTTAAAAATAAATATCTTAGAACTAAGTGAACGGATCTTTATGAAAATTGGTTTACTTACACAGAAAATGATACACTTTTAGTTGAAAATTTAAAAATTAAAAAATTTTGATTTTTAATAATTGTTATTGCAAAATTAATTGTTTTTTTTTAAATAAACCATGTTCTCGTTGTCGTAGAAAGTTGATCCAAAGTTTATTGGAAAGGGAATTTCATAAGGATTCGAAAACCGTTTTAAAATTTCGTGGATCACAATTAGCAAAAAAATTATCGCTTTTTTTGTGCGGCGCTCCGTGTCTCTAGCGCTAGCACGCAGAATGTACTTTGCTCAAAAAGTATGGAAACTTGCAAATATCTCGAAAAGTACAAATTTTTATAAAAAATGTTCGAGACAAAAGTTTGTTCATAACAAAAAGATCTACATTTGTGAACCCAAAAAATTGGTTGTTTTTGTTAAATAAAATCCTCTAATTTTCAGAATCAAATTCGTAATCCCTATGAAATTATGTGTTTTAACGTGTGAAGAATATGACCAAAATATTGGGCTGAGAAATCTTACTGTACATTGTGCTTTAGACCTAATTTGAAAATTAGCTTAAAATTTCTAATATGTTACCCCAAAAACCCCATAAGCCGCGATTTTTTTAAATTCACTTATTTGAAGAAAAATGTTCGGCCTAATTTCTAGGATTGGGCCTAATATTTTGTGCCTTTATACCACATGTGTGAACGCAGAATTTTATGAGGATTACGATTTTTACACACAATATTAGTGGTCTCATTTCAAAAGACTACTTTTTTCACTGTAAGGCCTCACATTGGGCCCCGGGCTTAATTTTTTTGGTTCGAAAATGGCGACGCATGAATATTCCCCAAATTATACTTGCCGGAATTTTTGTTGTGTCGAATTAAAAATTATCGAATTTACATTTAGTAGAATTTAAAAGAAGTAAATTTTACAATGAGCCCACTTTTAATATCGAAAAATATCTATTTAAAAAAATTCTTATTTTATAGAATTTTTATTTAACTGAACTTTGATTTTGCAGATTTTCTAATATATCGAATTTTCAAATAATACAATTTTCATTTAACAAAATTTATGTCTAGAATAATTATCATAAAGAAGAATTTTTATTTGTCAAAATTGTTCTTTTGTCAAATTTCTATTTATCCGAATATTCACTTAACCCCTTCGATGTGAGGACTAAAATCTTGAATGTGGGCCCAAAATGTTAAGAAATTTTTTATCGACAAAAATTTGTGAAAATGGGTGGACTTAGGTTTTCGGGGTCGCTGATTACGAATCAGAAGTCAGATTTTCAAAATTCAAAATGGCGGATCCAATATGGCGGACGAAAAAATAAAAAATCAACCGAATTTGCTTAAAACTAGTTACTCGGGGGTTTTTGGGGTCGCTGATCACGAATCAAAAGTCATATTTTCAAAATTCAAAATGGCGGATCCAATATGGCGGAAGACATTTTGAAAATCAACTGCAATTTGATTGAAACTTGTTACTCGGGGGTTTTCGGGGTCGCTGATTACGAATTCGATGTCAGTTTTTCAAAATTCAAAATGGCGGATCCAACATGGCGGAAGACATTTTGAAAATCAACTGCAATTTGATTGAAACTTGTTACTCGGGGGTTTTCGGGGTCGCTGGTCGTTATATTGGACCCACTATTTTGAAATTTTTAAAATTGGTTTTAGAATCCTAATTAGGAACCTTAAAAATCCAAAGATACTTTATTTTTTATCTATTCTACATGAGCTTCGTAACGAAATTTTAATCACCCCTTTCCCAATTTTTCGCCCACCATATTAAATCCGACATTTTCAATTTTCCAATTTTTAATCGAATTCGTAATCAGCGACCCCGAAAACCCCCGAGTAACAAGTTTCAATCAAATTGCAGTTGATTTTCAAAATGTCTTCCGCCATGTTGGATCCGCCATTTTGAATTTTGAAAATCTGCATGCAGATTCGTAATCAGCAACACCAAAAACCCATAAGTGATAAGTTTCAAGCCAATTGGGTTAATTTCCTAAAATTTTTGAAAAATAGTCCGCCATATTGGATCCGCCATTTTGAATTTTGGAAATCTGAATCCAGATTCGTAATCAGCAACCCCAAAAACCCCTAAGTGATAAGTTTCAAGCCAATTGGGTTAATTTCCTAAAATTTTTGAAAAATAGTCCGCCATATTGGATCCGCCATTTTGAATTTTGGAAATCTGAATTCAGATTCGTAATCAGCAACCCCAAAAACCCCTAAGTGATAAGTTTCAAGTCAATTGGGTTAATTTTCGAAAATTTTGGAAAAATAGTCCGCCATATTGGATCCGCCATTTTGAATTTTGAAAATATAACGTAGGATTTGTAATCAGCAATGTCAAAAGCACTTTGATTTCATTTTTTGTGAAATTAGTTTCAAGAAAACGATGGATGTCACTGAGATTATAATTATTAAAAATAGCCTTCAAAACTGTCAACTCTTTGGCAGCCATATTGGATTTTGGTTTTCGAATTTTCAAAATTTGACCCCAAATTCGGTTTCAGCGTTCAAAATACCCTAGAAAACGTATATTCAGTGCCTATCTGCATGCTTTTTAATATATTTTTTTCATTGTTTTGTAAGTACGTGTATACACGTACCTCACAGTCTGAGCCCTTTTTCGAATGTACGTCTATAGACGTACCATCACAGTCAAGGGGTTAAAAGTATTTTTATTAGCAGAATTTCCAATTAAAAGAATTTCTATATGACAAAATTCCTATTTAACAAAACTTTTATTAGGAAATAAAATTTCTTTTGTGCGATTCCAGGTGAGATTTTGATTTTTTCGGAGTAGGTTAACCGATTGCAATGAAACTTTGGAATTTTGTTATATATAGTAAGACTAATCTTTAACGTAAATTGCAGCATAAAATATTTGTTAGTTTACGAGATTTGCCATAATAACAAAAAAAATTTAAACTGCTATATCTTCCGTTCTAATAATCGGATTGAGGTCTACTGTTTTTAAAATGTCAAGAAAAATGAGAGGAATAAATCTCTTTCAGAACAATTTTTTATAATTTTATAACTAAAAAAATTGTTAAATAATAATTGAATAAATTTCAAGCGACAATGTAAAATTCAATCACTTAAACGCTAAAATGATCTTACCTGTATTTTCTTTAATGTTTCAAAGGAATCCAATTGTAAATGCAAGTTTAACTTATTTAATTTTAATAATTTACGAGTATTTGCGATTTCTGCTAGTTTACGTGCAGACGACATTGCGCACGCAGCATTCTCCTGTAACCAGCTGACGTGATTCGTGGACTAAATTGGCTACGTGAGAATGCTGCGTGCGCAATGTCGTCTGCCGTAAACTAGCAGAAATCGCAAATACTCGTAAATTATTAAAATTAAATAAGTTAAACTTACATTTACAATTGGATTCCTTTGTAACATTAAAGAAAACACAGGTAAGATCATTTTAGCGTTTAAGTGATTAAATTTTACATTGTGGCTTGAAATTTATTCAATTATTATTTAATAATTTTTTTAGTTATAAAATTATAAAAAATTGTCCTGAAAGTGATTTATTCCTCTCATTTTCCTTGACATTTTTTAAAAAAGTAGACCTCAGTTTGATTATTAGAACGGAAGATATAGCAGTTTAAATTTTTTTGTTAATATTGCAAATCTCGTAAACTAACAAATATTTTAAGCTGCAATTTACGTTAAAGATTAGTCTTACTATATATAACAAAATTCCAAAGTTTCATTGCAATCGGTTAACCTACTCCGAAAAAGTCAAAATCTCACCTGGAATCGCACAGTTGCAAATGACAAACAAGCAAGGGTATTTTTTAAAAAATCATAATAATACTTTAAAACTTGTGACATTAAGAGCACTGGAGCGGGTATTACAATAAGTGATATTCTGAGGAGGCGCGAAGTACAATAATAATAGAACTTCACTTAGGTAAGTTCGTTTAATTATTAAATTTTAATGATTCACCATTGATTTGTTCAAATTAAAATCTTTTCGTCAAGGAAATGAGATCTTCAATAAATTTGTTATTTGAAACGTAATTTCAATCAACTGCAATATTTCACAACACATAGATTTAAAAAAATTGTTCACATAATTTATTAATCGACTTTTGAATAATATACAAAATTTCAATGTTCTTTAACAACTACTCCTGACATAATTATTATTTGATTTTCAGTTGTTCACTGTAATTAATATTTAACAGTTCAAAATAAGATTCGAAACTTTTAAAATCGTAGAAAATTCTAAATTTCGAGTTTTTATTTTTAAAATTTAATCTTACAAAATTTAAAAATAAGGAAAAAAGTAATAATTTGTTAAAGATAAAAAATAAAACTTAATTTAAATTCTTTGAATTCATAATTCTTTAAGTAGATATTTGATGCTTTTGGTAGAAAAAATGAATAAAAATGAAGACTCGATTGAATAATTTTTAAGTCTAATTCAATAGAGAATTTATTTAATAAATTCTATGTCAATCTAGAAGTTAAAATTATATTTTATTGAGAACTGAATAAGCATTTTATCAACGGGAGGCGTCGAAATAATAATTTATAATATGATTCAAGAAGATTCTTTTTTTTAATTAATTAATTAATTTCAATCATTAATTCATTAATCAGTTAATTGTGCAAAATATATGATAAATAGATTTATAATAATAATAATAGCATAATACGTACTGTCTATCAAAAGTTTTTAAGTAAAAATTTGTAACTATATACAATTAAATATGTATCAAAAGTAAAGTAATTTACATTTCTTTCTGATATTTAACAACTTTTGTAGCTGACAATGGTTTCCATTTTATGAAGAGATGTGGAGAATGTTCTGAGCTGAACTTCTTGACTGTTAGCAATAAAGGCAGGTTGAGTTTCATCCCATTCTTTTGGAATTCCACAGTCCGGAACAGTGTAAGTTAAAATATCGAAGGAACATGGACAGTCCAACAAAGGTAGAAAACTTACTGTACCTAAAATTAAATTGAGATGACAATTTTATAATTTGTAGTTGAATTAAAAAGTTAAACAAGTTGAAAATTATTCTATTATTTTAAAATTCTGTTAAAAAAATTAGACCCTATAAAAATTCTGTGCAATAAAAATTCAGATTAACATAATTGGACAAACATTTAATTAAATAGATATTCTGTTAAATAACATTTTTTTTTTGTTAAATGGAAATTTTATTAAATAAAAATTCACTAAATTTTTTAAATAATAATCCATTGAAGTAAAAATTCTGTTAAATAACTTCCTTTTAAAAAAAATTCTGCCGTGTAAAAATTTCAAATTAAAAAAATTTCGACCTTAACAAAATTTTTAGTTCTTTTACACATTTAAATTCACAAAAAACAAAAATTATAAATGTTGAAACAGGTTTTGATTTCATTTTTCTAATAATTCTTTTTTTTTACTTACCCGTAATTTGACGAATTACTTCTCTAATTTCTTTTTGAATTATAGCTATATCCTTTGTTCCAACTTCTGGCAATTTTCTTTCTTCTCCATTATTACTAGAACCATTCGGTGAATCGTTTTCATATTCAACTTTAAAATCCCATTTTTCTAAAACTTCTTTTGTATTAACATTTGTGATGACCAGAGCAATCTTGTGAATTTTTCTCTGTTCCAACCATTCTTGAACTTGTCCAAGAACGGTTTCCAAAAAAGTTTTAATTTTTTCATCAATTGACATTAGAAAAAATATACCAAAACGTTCTAACGGTTCAAAAGTTTCTGGAGGATAAATTCCACGTTGATAGAGTATGCTATTGATTCCATAGGCTAAAGCAAAAATTTTATTAATTAATAGACTTTTATGAGACCCAGTTGATTACAATTAATAACAGTAGACTAAAAATTTAATTAATAATTATAAATATTAATGACTAATTTTTTAATGCAATAGAATAAATTAGAATTGCTAACAAAAATTATTTATTTATATATATTTTTTTAATTGTTGATTTAAGTTTGGTTTTAGGGTCCATGAAATAAAGAACAATGTTCAGTATTCATATATATTTGAAGAAATTTTTAATTAGCCAAATTTTTATACAACAGATTTACGTGCCAGAAGTTAGCAACGCCATTTGGTTTTTTTGAAAAAACAATTTTTGTGCTAATTTTGTGCTAATTTTGTGCTAATTTGTGCCGCAAAAAGTTTTTTGAACAAATCAAAATTAAGGTGCAAAATTAAAAAAAAATTTTGATGAACCAAAAATATTATTTTCTTATAATAGAAAACAAATATTAGTGATCAATACTTTCAATTCATTACAATAAAATGCAATCAACAAAGATGAGATAAAAAAAAATTTTTTAAATGAAAAAATACACAAAAATTTTTTTTTATAACCCCGACATTATGAAAAACACAAATTTTTTAGAAGCAATTTCTGTGCTGAATTGTACAAGATTGCCATCAAAAGACCCTCTAATAACATATTTAAAACATTTGTACATTTTTCAAAACAATTAAATTTTTAATTAAATAAACGTACCTAAACCTGACAACTTCAAAAGATAATATTTTTCGAAAATTATTTTCGTGCTGAATTGTGCATGACCAGCACAAAAATAAACTCTAATAACATTTAAAAAAAATTTGTTTTTGTTGAAACTTGATAGGTTATATGGAAATAATAACACGTATAAGATAAAAAAAGATAGGGAAATTACATCAAATGAATTAACACTTTATTTACTATTTGAAAAATGGCTTATACACTTAAACAACTTAAAATATGTCTTGAACTTGAAATATATCTTAAATGAACCGTACAATGTGCAAACCGCAAGACCCTTTTCGTACGACTAAACCCAAAATGTGCTTAGGTACTCCAAGTACCTGGCTTTTCCCTTTCCCTTGGATTTTACTTTAACTTATTTGCTATATATATGAAAATAACATTATCGTTGTAATTCCAACACTCTCCCTCAACGATAATCCTACATTAATATTTACTAATTTGCAAAATTTAAATTCCTTAAAATAATTGCATTTCTAAAACGTCTTGAAAGTTTCAATTACAAAAATGATTTTTCAACTTACACAAAAGCATTGAAAAAGTTACATATAAACTTAATGTCCTTTAAATAATTGTCTTTAGTCTATTGTTGGTTCTTTTTTTTTCATTGATGACTAGTTATCACTTTTCATTTTCACTTTCTATAAATCCATATAAATTCTGGAGGTATACCTTTTTTTTTCCTACTTGATCTTCTTAACACTATATCGCTTTCATGAAAACTTTCGTCGTCATTAGGTGATTGATAATCCAGGGAATCACTTGATTCGGAACTACTTTCTGAAGAGCTGGTGTCTCTCCCTGAGACTTGATCTTCTTGTTGTTCATCAGCTTCATTGTTCTGCAAAACCTTGTCCTTTACACTTGTGTTTACCTGAATCCAGTCAATATTAACCAGATTTGCTTACACTTTTGTTTCCCACCTTGCCTTGGGTCTTCATACCTGACTTGGCATGCATCGTACTCGTACCCCTTGATTGACCTGCTTGTTTACTCCGACCATTTTCTTTAATCTTTATTGCTTTTTGCTGGCTTGAATCCTCGGTTTGTAACTCGAAAAGTTTATTATTCTTTAAAAATGCTGTTGCTTTTACTGTTCCATCTGTGGGGTTGATAACATTGCAAACTGAATTTTTGAACTGCACACTAAAACCTTTTTCTAATAGTCTTGACACTGACAATAAACTCGAACTTAGTTTTGGCACGTACAAAACATCCATAACCTTTATTGAGATTTCCTTTCCTTCATTTATGAGTTTAAGTGTCCCGGATCCGACCCCTTCGATATCGGTAAATTCTGTCCTATCTGCAAACTGTACCCTTCCTTTCTTTTCGAAATTGAGGGTTTCGAAAAATTCTTTGTTGTTGGACATGTGGCTTGTCGCTCCTGAGTCCATAATCCAACTTGATTTTTTTATTTCTTCATTTTCACTGTAAAAACTTGTACACAAATATTCGTTAGTTACAAAAAAACATTTATCTTCCATGAACATGTGTTCTGCCGTGTTTGCTTTTTCTTTTTCTTGCTTTAGTTTCCATTTTTTGTACTTTTCACAATCCCGTTTTAGATGACCTTTATTTTTACAAACATAGCATTCCCTTTCAGCTATAACTTGTGCCTTGAGTGCTGATTCCCGCGATTCATTTTCTTCATTTAATGCCATTTTGTTTTTCCGTCTTTTATATTCGTCGATGAGTTTACATTTCGTTAATGACAATGACAAACCTTCTTGTCTTCCCTCTAGCATTGTGACCAACGTATCATATGAATCTGGTAGACTTTCAAGAAGCATGGCAGCTGCAAATTTGTCCCTTATCCCTTCACCTAGAGCATTTAATCTATTAACGATTTCTTGAACTTTATTGACATGATCTTCCATATCACCGTATTCACTTAAACGCATCCTGCACAGAGTTCTATATAGGTGGGCAATACTGGCTTCCGAAGATTTTTGGTGATAATCTTCGAGAGATTTCCAAGCTTCCTTAGCATTTTTCGCGTTTATAATATGAACTAACTGATTATCATCTACGAGTAATGAAATCGTCGATGATGCTTGATCGTTCATTCTTTTCCATGCTGTATCTGGTTCAACTGGAATTTCTTCACTTACAACTGTCCATATCTCTAAATTAATGAGCATTTGTTTTACCCTGAATTTCCACACGGTATAATTGTTGTTATTGAGCTTCTCAACTTGAAAGCTCGGACGGAAACTTTGAGCCATCATGAAATTGAATACTCTTTAATCACTGAACTGTAGAAAATTCAAAAATGTCACCGGTTTTTACACTTTACTTAGAAACTGTATGAACTATCTGTTAACCTTTTTATTGTTCTTTATACACTTTAGTCACTGTTATTTAATGTACTTTATTTTAATTCTTCACTCGAAAATTTAATTCACTTGATATTCACTTTATTTTCTTACTTTATTTCTTTTCTATCTATTCTGGGCCCATAACCTGTTGAAACTTGATAGGTTATATGGAAATAATAACACGTATAAGATAAAAAAGATAGGGAAATTTCATCAAATGAATTAACACTTTATTTACTATTTGAAAAATGGCTTATACACTTAAACAACTTAAAATATGTCTTGAACTTGAAATGTATCTTAAATGAACCGTAAAATGTGCAAACCGCAAGACCCTTTTCGTACGACTAAACCCAAAATGTGCTTAGGTACTCCAAGTACCTGGCTTTTCCCTTTCCCTTGGATTTTACTTTAACTTATTTGCTATATATATGAAAATAACATTATCGTTGTAATTCCAACATCTTTATTTTCCAAAATAACTAAATTTATAATTTAACAATAACGATCATAACCAAAAAATTTTCAAAAATTAAAATTTTCAGAAACTAATTTTTTTGCTGAATTGTGCATGACCAACACAAAAATAAACTCTAATAACATTTTTTAAAAATATTTACATTTTCCAAATCGACTCAATTTTTATTTTAACAATAACGATCATAACCAAAAATTTACAAAAATAAGAATTTTTAGAAATTAATTTTTGTGCTGAATTGTGCATAAACAGCACAAAAATACACTTTTATAACATTTTTTAAAAATATCTATACTTTCCAAAATAACTAAATTTTTAATTTAACAATAACAATCATAACCAAAAATTTACAAAAATAAGAATTTTTAGAAACTAATTTTTGTGCTGAATTGTGCACGACCAGCACAAAAATAAACTCTACTTACATTTTTAAAAATATCTATACTTTCCAAAATAACTAAATTTTTAATTTAACAATAACGATCATATCCAAAAAAATTTCAAAAATGAAAATATTTAGAAACTAATTTTTGTGCTGGCTTGTGCACGACCAGCACAAAAATACTGGTGCTCTAGATAGTCTTGTACATGTAATAAATATGCTTATAATGAGCAATGTATTTTACAATGAACAGATTAGCGAATTTGAAAGCGATATATTTTCGTTGGCAAAAATTTTTATTAAAAAAAATTAGGATCTGAAGTTTTCAAAGCACGTGCAAGAGTTCTTCGCAATTCAAGTGCTACTATAAAGGAAGTAAAGCAATACGATAAAAAAATCAAAACAGGCAAATCAGTGATAAGCATAGTTACAATAAATGCTGTTTGTAATCTAACTGAACCAACAACCAATCTCTTCTCTGCAACGCCGAGTTATGCAGTTGAGTATACATGTACTATTATGTAAAAAGATACAGAAAGATGATTTTATGGTAGGCCATATTAACTTACAAGTCATTTATAATTCTGGCATCGTAAATTTACTTGAAGCACTCCAAATTCCTCCCCGAAAAAGATAAAATTTGATGCAACAAAAAGAAAAAAATGAAAATTTACTACGGACCACATCTTCTAATATCTGTAGAAGTTGGGAAACGAAACGACACAAGAATCTGTGACATACTAAAAATCATAAAACTTAGTCAAAAGGCCGAATATAAGATTCCTAATTTTATTGGATATTCCGGTTCATATAACCCAGAAATTCCTGGACATTATAAGGCATATGTTCTAGTCAATCAAACTTGGTTATTGTATGATGATTTATCATCATCAAAACAACCAGAAAAGATATATGACAACGAAAAAGTGGTGGATCCACATGTTTTAATTTATTCAAAATAGGCAACAAACAAACAAAATTGATTGTATGCGAAATATAAGAACCAAAGATTTCAAAGAAATGAAGTATTAAAAAAGTACCTTAATGATAGAAAAGATATTATGTTGTTCTTT